GGTAAAGTCGACGAGTTTAGGGGAAGGGGGGGGGAGGGAGTTTTAGGGGAAGGGCTTTTGGGGAAAAGGTTAGGGGAAGGGCTTTATTTATTTATTACAATTAACCACATACACATGTACTTGGAGGGCATGGTGGAACAGGTGCACCTAATTATAAGTACACCTTTTCAAGGCCACCATGCCCACACTTTGGGGGGATAGACTGGGGGAAGAGCTTTTGGGGAACGGTTAGGGGAAGAGTTTTTGGAGAAAGGTTAGGGGAAGAGGTTTTGGGGAAAGGTTAGGGGAAGAACGTTTGGGGAAAGGTTAGGGGACGAGGTTTTGGGGAAAAGGTTAGGGGAACGGCTTTTGGGGAAAGGTTAGGGGAATGGCTTTTGGGGAAAGGTTAGGGGAAGAGGTTTTGGGGAAAGGTTGGGGGAACGGCTTTTGGGGAAAGGTTAGGGGAAGAACTTTTGGGGGAAAGGTTAGGGGAACGGCTTTTGGGGAAAGGTTAGGGGAACGGCTTTTGGGGAAAGGTTAGGGGAAGGGCTTTTGGGGAAAGGTTAGGGGAAGAACTTTTGGGGAAAGGTTAGGGGAAGAGGTTTTGGGGAAAGGTTAGGGGAAGAGCTTTTGAGGAAAGGTTGGGGGAACGGCTTTTCGGGAAAGGTTAGGGGAAGAGGTTTTGGGGAAAGGTTAGGGGGGAACGGCTTTTGGGGAAAGGTTAGGGGAAGAACTTTTGGGGAAAGGTTAGGGGAAGAACTTTTGGGGGAAGGTAAGGGGAAGAGCTTTATTAATTTATTACAATTAACCACATACACATGTACATGGAGGGCCTGGTGGAACAGGTGCACCTAAGTGCACCTTTTCAAGGCCACCATGCCCACACTTTGGGGGGATAGACTGGGGGAAGAGCTTTGGAGGGGAGAGTTTGGTGTGCACGAGTTTAGGGGTGGAGCATTGGGGAGAATAGTTTAGGGGGGAAGAGTTTCGGGGAGCAGGGGGAAGAACAACGAGGGAGATGATTTTAGGGGGAGAGTGTTTGGGGGGAAGAGCGTTGGGTCGAAGAGTTTAGGGGGAAGTGCTTAGGGGGGGGTCGAGTTTCCCCAATTCGGTCAATTTTTGTTGACTTTACCCGTTTAGTGGGCATACTCAGAGATCTAAGTGGGCCAGTCTTGCCTACCCAGAACGGATAGAAACCAGAGAAATGCAGGTCAAGGTTAGGTTTTGTTTACTGTGATTAGCTGATGCAGGAGTTTACATGCCCATAGCAAGGGGTATTCTTTGCCCATTCAGAACTTGTGCGTCTCTGATGTTTCCTTTAAAATCATCTCTGTCAAAAATATTTGAAACACCATTACAGAAGGTACAATTTTCAAAATTTTTCACATGCTCTTGTCCCGTAGGTAAGTTCACTGTACCGCATGTCCAAGCCAATGGTGTCGATGCTGGTTTTACTTAAAATTACCATACTGTGTTACCATGATAGGCTTAACTATTAGATAAAAAAAAAACAATTTTCTAGTACAGTCATTATTCAACAAGTATTGCTGGTGGTGAGTCAAATCCTACTGAGTCAGATGATTAGAGGTAGGATGCACTGACAAAAAACTTGGGTACTGGTCCAGCATTATTACTGTTAGGGAACAAAGTTTATATTACGTGATCCTAGTCTGTTCAACCCTACTCAGAAAAGGTAATATAGGGATTTTCTTCTTACATAACCGGTAATTTTTCTCACATGTATGTGTTGATGCCTAACAGTGGAAAAGAGAGGAATATAGCCTGTACAGAACCATTTTGAGAACTAACAGCTTTCCAATGTCTCTCAATTCTATGTAACAATGCAGGAAGGTTGAAGTCCACTCAGATCTTCTGTTAACAAGTTCAAGTTAGTTCATGTACAATTAATTCGTAGTCATCTAATTTTTGCATACTAACCCATTGCAATTTTGGATTTTTTTTAGTGTAATGCAGATAGTCCTCCAGAAGTTAGCATAAAGTGTTGTGAGGACCCCCCCCCCCCGTTTTGCCCAACAGAGGTCTTCCACAAGTTATAACTCTCCTTCATGAATATACAGATGACGTTGACTAAGTCTTTGTCGATGAAGAAAAATATTGTATTGGATCCAAAGATTCCTAGAATTATTGTTTCTGTATTATTTAAACAGGGTAGAGACCTCAGTGCTATTTAAAAACACTGCTTTTCAGGAATGCCCTGTGACAAGTTAGACATGAAAAACAGTGAAACCAACACATTAAACAATGCATAAAGTTACAAAACAACCAAGCGTCAAAACAAAATCATTAAGCGTAAAATCAATGTTGTTAAGCCGCAGGCCATGGTCAGGACTACCGTAGAACTAGCTGTAGAGTGGAACTCGCTGCCACCGAGCATAGTAGGGGCATCCTCACTAGAAAGCTTTAACAATTAATGTTTTGAGGTACAGTGGATGTTCAAAGGCTAGGTGTAACAAGTTGTACGGTGCAATGTAGCCAGCTGCTGCCACACTGATTACCAGTGAAGCTGGTATGTTATGCAGTCGAGGCCAGGGACACTGTTACATACAGAAGCTGATGTGTTATGCCGAAGGGCGATTATATATATATAATAACCTTTATTGTACATTCATGCCCTATCGGGCTAAGTACAGGTGCACAGATGAAGCTATACAGATACTGAAGCTGGTGTGTTACACTGAAGGGCAGTTATACTAATCTGTGCAGATAGAGATTCAGAAGCTGGTGTGTTACGCCAAAGGGCGGTTATACCGGCTATTCCATAGTGAACCTTCGGTTGGTCTACCTGGCCAAGGCAGTTCAAGCACTCAAACTTCAAAGCAACAGAGTCTCTTAATCAAAAACCATAAGAAATCCAACTCATTTCTGTAAACTTTTCCATCACAAGGTGTTGTTCATATCCCACAAACCGTTACGCCCCTTAACCAGCATGTAATAGAGCACCTTTCAAGTCCTGGGTACACAAGGGTAGGTCTGGGGAGAAAGGATCATTGGGATTGTAACGTTACCTTGTTGGACTTACTCTTGTTTAAGTATCATAGAAGGATGATACTGTTGTTTGTTTTTTCTTGGGGGTTGGGGATGTCAGAGATGGGGCTTTTTGCAAGGGTGATGAATAGATCACCGTATAGCGTGCCAATACGAGATGGGGTCCGCCAGGCCTCCATTCGGGTGATTTAAATCTAATCACCAACTTTCCGCACAATAGGAATCAGTTCAATATGATGGAATCCGTAAGTTTAACTGACCACAGTGCGATGATTCATTATTACACATTATTGTCACTCATAGACTACATGTATACTTAACCTGTTGACTAACCTATAAGGAAGTAAATTAACCTATTAATCTATTACCTAACCTATTGACTTGGTGAAAAGTTTTTTTAACTGTCTGGGCTACGCATACTTAAAAAGTGCAACGATTTGATGTTTTTCAGGTAATTGTAACCTGTTACTGTTGCTAGCTGCTACTTGGCAAGACAAGAGTCTCGACTAGTACCTAACCTGTAAGTAAACCCTTATGATCTATTAACTAACATATTACCTATCAACTAACCTATAAGTAAACTAAACCTATTACCTAACCTAACCTATTAACCTAGTTAATGAGTCAACTTATCTACATCTACCTTTATTAGAAATACAGTTATGATTAACAAAATATCAATTATGCAAACATTTTTGGAAGTTTATCAACTTGAAGATTAAGCGAAGGTACTGCTTTCTTTTCTGATACATGTAATACAATCAATTACAATTGTTATGCAAACTCGGACATTTTATCAAGTTGACCAACTTGAAGGGATGTCCTGCGTCCTTTCCTACATGTAACACGCACACAAACACATTCACGCATTTAAATAAAGAAAACATACAATAGATACTAGTTATGCTAGACCTTTTCTCAAGTTAATCAACTACTTCAAGGAAGGTCTTGCTTCATCAAACGGTTGACTTAACGCTATAGACCTTACATTCAGGAAACGAGAAATAATACTATTAACTAACCTATTAAATAACCTATTGACTTAATCCTATAAGAAAGTAAGTAGCTACTCAGCTACACACACTAGTGTAACAATTTTGGGGGGGGGGTTGTAACTAAGTTGCAATTGCTAGTAGCTACTTATCGAGACTGTTTTTTTTTTTAGAGTCTCAGCTACAAGTGTATCGATTTTATGTCACTTCTATAATTTGACATACAGATGCTGCTTTGGGCCTTTTTTTTTCCTTTTTTTTTTAAGCCACCTCTCAGGTTGGTGTAGTGTCGAAGCTGGTCTTGCCAAGAATGTCTTGATCTATCTCTGTGTTGTACCCAGTTTCATTCAGTTCCACTCAAGAGGATCGAATATGGCTCAGTCCCCATGATGTAGGTGTAGATTAAGCGCAGAAATTTTGCAGTAAAGTTCTTCCTCCGAAGGCTGATGTTTCCATGTCGTTTCTTTAGTAACTTGTAACATTCAAGGGTAGGTTCCATCCAGCTTGTTCTCCAGGCTTTTTGTCGGGATCCATGCTGCAAGGTTCATTCCAAAGCTGTGTCACGGGCAATGGTGAACAGTTTGCACTTTGCAGAGTTCCGTAGCCCTACTAGGCTTCGGGTTGGCATTAGGAAGGGCATCCGGCCATTAGAAAATCTTGCCTAGAAGAAGACACGTACTTGATCCAAGCACGTCTAACCCCCAGTTTTGGGGAGGAAAGAGACGTTAAACTGGTTCGAGAGGGAGAGAGAGATGGAGACCGCATCAACAGAAAGGGAGTGTAATGTCACACGCACGTCCAAGCCCAAACATCTCTCCCTTGTCAGCTTTTCCTCTCACTTGGCTTTCTTCCTCCACGAAATCACCAAGCGGTCAAAGGTTGTGCACTCTCTGTCTTGAGAAGGGCTTGCAAGACTGTTGTGATGTTTACTCTGAACAGTTCTTTCGTTTTACTATGGATAGAGACGACTTCCAACACCTTCCTTGGTCCTGTGAAGACAAGCTGCAGTGTTGCTTGTGTAGTGCTGCTGCATTGTACAGAAATCCCAGCTCTCTGAATCCTTTGATTTTGATGTGCGGATGTAGTGCTGTCTTGTGCTTCAAAAGCACGCTGAGCCACAGTTCTCTGAAGACTGTCTTCAACTGCTGAGGAATGAAGAAAAAACAGGTTATTATTTGATAACACATTAAAAAACAACAAGCTCAAGTCAAGGGCTAAATTGCAGTGTACTACACAGTGGATTATCATAGCTCAGTGCAGCTACAAAAAGAAGGCATTACCAGTAGGTATAATGACTGTGTCTCAGTGTCTCCAGGATGTTTGTTTTGCTGGTACTTGACTGTATTGTGCTTGGAATTGCTGTAATGTCCTCACTGAAGCAATCTTAGTCTTGAGACTTGTCATTGCAGTAGGACGGACCGAGTCCAAGGCATGCTGAGCCACAGTTCTCTGAAGCCTGTCTTCAACTGCTGAGGAATAAAGAAGAATTGGTTATTATTATGATCACACATCAGAGAACAACAATTTCATTAGGGGCTAAATTGCAGTGTACTACACAATGGATTAAATAACTCGGTACAACTTTGAAAAGAAATCATTAAGTCCAATTTGCACACTCAGGGAAAGTGTGTCTCGAGTCAAATCCATCCAAGTCGACTTGGAAAAAGCATATAAATCATGCCTATGTCAAATCAGCTCAAACTATTACCTATGACTGCGGCTGCACCTCAGTGTCTCCAAGATGTGCTTTTTTGCTGGCATTTGATCGTGCTTGGCATTGCTGTATTGTGCTTCCACCTCACTGAAGCAGGTCCTGCAATCATGGTCTTAAGACTTGTCAGGCTTCTCTGAAGACTGTCTTCAACTGCTGATGAATGAAGAAGAAAAGAACTGGTTATTACTTGATCAAGCAATAGCTCAGTGCAGCTACAAAAGATTTTGATTAAGTTCAGATTACACGGGAAAATTTCTACCACAATGTCCATCCAAGTCGACAAAACGGTTAAATTACCCCTAAGTCAAAATCAGCTCAAACTATTTACCTATGAGAATGAGTGAGGCTGCATCTCAGTGTCTCCAGTGTGTCATTTTTGCTGGCACTTGACTGTATTGTGCCGTGTTGTGCTTCCACCTAATTGAAGTGATCATGCATCCTTGATGCTGAGAGGAACCAGTCTTGACTTGTCATAGGAGTAGGACGGACCGAGTCCAAAGTACGCTGAGCCACAGTTCTCTGAGGACTGTCTTCAACTGCTGAGGAATGAAGAAAAAGAAGGACTGGTTATTTGATCACACATTAAAAAGCAACAAGCTCAAGTGCTGATGAATGAAGAAAAATGCATGAAAGCATGTCCCAATATACAAATCCATCGAAGTTGACTTGGATAAAGCATAAATCATTCCTAAGTCAAATCAGCTCAAAATATTTACCTATAATGACTGAGGCTGCATCTCAGCGTCTCCAGGATGTTCTTTTCACCGGCACTTGACTGCATTGTGCTTGGCATTGCTGTATTGTGCCTCCACCTCACTGAGGTGATCCTGCAATCTTGGTGCTGAGAGGATGTCTTTGGAGACTTGTCATTGGAGCAAGACGGACTGAGTCCAAACTATGCTGGGCCAGTGAGTTCTCTGAAGGCTGTCTTCAACTGCTGAGGAATGAAGGAAAAGAACTGGTTATTATTTCATCACACATCCACAAGAAGCTCAAGTGCTGATGAATAAAGAAGAACGCATAAAAACATGACCCAAACTTTGGCCTTTCAGTAGCATTAAGTTCAGTTTAGTACACATATAGCACAGGAAGATGTGTCCTGAGTCAAATCCGTCAAAGTCGACTTGGAAAAAGCATGTGTAAATCGCGCCTAAGTCACATCAGTTCAAAATACTTACCTCTAATGACTGAGACTCAAGCATCTCAGTGTCTCCAGGATGTTTTTTTGCTGGCATTTGAATGTATTGTGCTTCCACATCACTGAAGTGATCCTGCAATCTTGGTCTTAAGACTTGTCATTGGAGCAGGATGGACCGAGTCCAAATCATGCTGGGCCACAGTTCTCTGAAGACTGTCTTCAACTGCTGAGGAATGAAGAAAAAGAACTGGTTATTACATGTATTTGATCACACTTTAAAGAACAAACAAAAAAAATACAAGGGCTAAATTGCAGTGTACTACACAATGGATAAAACAATAGCTCAGTGCATCTATAAGCATGTGTAAATCACGCCTATGTCAAATCAGCTCAAACTATTTACCTATGATTGTGGCTGCATCTCAATGTCTCCAGGATGTTCTTTTTGCTTGCATCTGTCTGTATTGTGCTTGGCATTGCTGTATTGTACTTGTATTGGTCTTGAGACTTGTCATTGAAGCAGGACAGACCAAGTCCAAATCACGCTGAGCCACAGTTATCTGAATACTGTCTTCAACTGCTGAGGGATGAAAAAGAAAAAAAAAGGTCATTATTTTATCACACATTAAAGAACAACACAAGTTCAACTGCTGATGAATTAAGAAGAGCCTATAAGAAAGCATCAGGACCAATATACACACACGTTCTCCAAGTCAATACAAATGAAAAACTCAGTAGCATTAAGTTCAGTTTACATGGTACAGGAAAATGTGAGTCAAATCCATTCAATGTAGACATGGAAAAAGTATGTGTTAATTGTGGCTATGTCAAATTAGCCCAAAATATTTACCTATAATGACTTTGGCTGCATCTCAATGCCTCAATTCCTGCAATGGACTAAGTCCAAAGCATGCTGAGCCACAGTTCTCCAACTGCTGAGGAATAAAAAAGAACTAGTCATTATTTGACCACACATTAAAAAACAGCAAGCTCAAGTGCTGATGAATGAAAAATGCAAGAAAGCATGGCCCAATATACAAAGTCATGATTGTGTTCTCCAAGTCAATACAAATGAAAAATACATTATTTGATCACACATTAAAAAAGCAACAACACAGGGAAATGTGTCCTGAGTCAAATCCATCCAAATTGTCTTGGAAAAAGCATGTGTAATCAGTTCAAAATATTTACCTGTAATGACTCCAGGATGTTCTTTTCTTTGGCAGATGACGTCCACTTGACTCTGGTGACTTCAAGCTTGCTGAGTTTGCTGAAGACTGCTTCGGTCCTCCCAATTTCTTTGGGGGTGTGCTGTAGGGTGCTACTGGCTCTGATGATCATGAGGTGAGTACCTGATTCATCACTTCCTAGCTGGGTCGGTTCAGCTTTTGAGGCATGTCCAAGAAGTACACCACACAATCATGTACTGTTTTTGTGACACGCACTTGTGACAGCAGGTGATCTTGATCTTGAAAAGTTTCCTTGAAAAGTTACTGTGCATCCTCCCTCTGTTTGGGTTGACATGTATACATGTGCTGAAATCCTTCTGACAATCGGGACAGTGGCGGCTCTACAAGTTCCAAGCTTTTTTTTTCATGTAGAATCATCAGCGTGGGTGGAATCTGTTCCCCTTTCGTGTCCGTACGCTGTGTGTTAAACAGCTCCTATGGAGGTCCCAAGAAGTTCATCTGACGTTTTTTTTTTCGACAATCTCATCAGGGTGGGTTTGAAACTGTTCCCAGTTTATAACAGCAGGCAGTCTGTGTGTTGAAATCGTCTTGAGAACGTAGAATGACCTGTTCCAAACACCCAAGCAGTTCATCTCACGTCTTTTTTTTTTTGCGACATGTTGTAGACTCACCGGCTTGGGTAGGAAACAGTTCCCTACAGTTCTCTCAGTCAATATGCTGAAACCTTGTCCTGAGAACATGTGTAGGACTTCCGTCACGTGATGTCTCTGTTTTCAAGGCTTCTTCTTTAGCTTCTTCTGTTGTAACTAGTTGAAGTTGCAGGGTGACGTCCATGTTTCAGCAAGTTTCAGCAACTGCTTGACACTTTGATCACTGGATATCAGGTCCTGGGATGTGGCTTTTCTTTTTTTTTCTTGTCCCTTGCAGCATTTACATTATGACACAGCTTTTGTTAATGAACCATCACACTTAAGTCAGAATAAAGTCAGACTCTATGGTTTTAGTTCAAGTCCAAGGTAAACAACTTAGGAAAGCCATAAGGTACAAGGGATGGGAATCGGTAACTAGGAAATGAAAGGTGCAGAAATTACAATACTGATAATACTCAACTAAAATAAAAACAAATATACTCAACAAAAATAAAAACTATCCACATGGAAAACTCAAATAAATGGACAAAATTGACAGAAAGCTGAAATTCTTCTATATATTTTGTTGGCTTTTGATAGGGAGATTCTTTGATTCAAGGTTTCAGGACCGAAATTGCCTTTTAGAGATAGACTAGAGTTTACTAAGGGTTAAAGTTAATGGTAACAGTCTGGAACACTAGGAACGTTGGCTAAACTAATTCCAGATGAGATGCTTCTTGTGCATTCTCCGCCTCTACCAGGCACCGCGGATCGCTGGAAAAATATATGTAGTAGAAATTGGCCGAAATAAAGGGATAGTATACCAGAGAAGATCCAGAGCCATAGAAGATCCAATTTGCGACCCAGCGATCCGCGGTGCCTGGTAGAGGCTAGCCCATTGTCAATTTAAATGAAACTATTAAAGCTGGAAAGACCATGGACACACCATACAGCAGCATCCTGCAGTGTGCCTAAGGAAACCAAGCATGTACAAGTTTGCTCAGCCAGCGTCGCCTCCGTAACACACCAGCTTCGCAGGCAGGCGGCACGGCAGCAGCTGGCTACATTACACCGATCAACTTGTTACACCTAAACCTTGAACATCTATATATCTCTAGACTTTGCTTAAAGCTATCTAATGACAATGCCCCTACTGTACTAGGTGACAGCAAGTTCCACTCTGCGATAGTTCTAGGAAAGTTCCAGGAATTCTTGAACACCTCAATCCTTGGTTGATAACTCTGGTACTTGAAGGCATGGCTATTTCTTGTTCTCTTCTGGGCTGGTATTAGGTAGTTAGTAGTTGGGACGTCCACGACCTCTGGCACAGCAGCAAAGAGGGTTGAAAGGAGGCAGGCTGTCTGGCCTCCCAACTATGTCACGACTTTTGCAACTTGACAAGGGCTACCTATAACCAGCAGCCAGAGTTACAAATACCTAAAAATGTCTACATTCGAGTGAAGTAAAACAGGAGTTGCCAAGATTTCAGTATTATAGCATCAATGTCAAGATTCCAGGTGCTTAAAAATTAATAATAATATGCAACGATCTACATAAAAGGAGGATGAAATTCTCCTGTTTGCCTGTGAGAGAAGAATGTCAAAGAGAGCATTCCTTAATATTTAAAAGTTACATTACAAGATCATGCCCCAAATCTTAAAGTAAATTAATCTGAACATAGTGCTAAGATGAGATGGTTTGGCCATGTTTCATTTGCAAAAAAAAAGCCACCAAAATACAACTTTAGGCATGTCACTACTAGTTTTCAGATCCGTACCTTGTGGAAGACCCCTCAAGACATGGAGGGAAGGGAAAACTAGGAACTTAGTCACTGATTCCAATTAATTGCCCCAGCCTTAAACTTTAAGTTAAAAGTAATACCAGAACCATCAAATTTCCTGAGTGGAACAACCTTCCTGCACATGTTGTGGACAGCCCTTCATCAGACATTAAGAGCAGGATGTCATCTTGTCCGTAGTCCACATGCTTACCCCCCACACACACACACACTACTACTGAACTTAAACTTGCCTTTCTTAAGCTTTTGTAGCAAAATCTTTACAGTCTGACCTCGCTGTAAAAGGAAGCATTGCAAATCTGCCATCAAAATTTTGCATTTGCAGCTAAAAATCAATTACTTTTGCTTTATTACATTCTGTTAAAGACTAGTAAAGTGTTAACTGCAATTTCTAAGGCTGTTCAAGTAACATCAAAGTAATATCAAAAATTAGTATTTGCAACACAAAGCAAATACATCTTTCTTTTACTTTGTCGCAACTAGTCTTTACTTCTAGATGTTCCTGACCTAGCTGTTGAAGGGGAACATTAAAAATCTGCTATCAAAATTTACACTTGCAACACGAAATCACTTACTTCTAGATGTGTGGTGAGCTACATAAATGATTTGTAAGCTGTGGATTGATAAATAAAACATTGGAAATCTTCTAGATTTATGACAAGATTAATGACCTTCTTTGAAAGCCGTGGTATCCGAGTGCCTTTTACTAGCATTTGACTCACCAGTTGACTTCACAAATACACCTGTCCAGCAATACTTGCCAATCTGCGATAATTGTTTGACATGTCAATTATAAAAATTATCATGATACTGTATTCTCGTTATTTTATAGACTTATTTCAGGGAAGGAAAGGAGGTTTTTGATCGAAACAATCCTATACCTTCAATCAATCAATCAATCAATCAATCACTCAATCACCTTTATTCAAACAAAAAAGCCCATAGCTGGCCTTGGACACTCTTCCCAGAGGTCCAGTTGGGGTCACAGAAACCATAGGAAAAGAATAAATACAAAAATATATTGACAAATACCTAGTAAAAGTTATGTAGTACTAATAACAAAATCAACCTAAAGTATCCTCAGGTTTGCTGTTTCACAACATGCAGACAGCCAAAAGATCCTTGCATACAGTCTACTGGCAGCTAGCTGCTGCAGTGGTGTGTGCTACACCAAAGGGCTGCTATACCGATACAGATACAGTCCCTGCTCGGCACCATCAGATTATGTTTTTATTTATTTCTTCCTCAAACATACATTGACAGGGAAATATACACATATACATGTCTATATACCCTGAATTACGTTACTAGGTGTTTTGTGCGTACTATATATGTTGAATATCATATGTGCATGAGACAGACAAAAATACATAGTATAGTAACAAACCCTAAAAAAAGATCTGAGCTCACAGGCTGATGGTTGGGCTAGGAAATAGAGTTATTATAGAGTCTAACTGCAGTGTGCAGGAATGAATGTTCACCTTTGCTTACCTATGCAATTATGAAAGACATCCCTCACTGTGTCTTCGTTTTGGAGTGGGGAGGTCAACAAAAAACTGTGTCAGACTAAGCAAATACTGTCTGGAACATTTTAACAGTTACGGTACTGTTACTCGACCAATTAGTTATGTCATCCCTTAAGTGTACATTTGCTAAGTTTCAGTTTACCAAGTCCACAAAAAAAATGGTTAGTTTCAGGGACTTATTAAAAGGGTAATATAAAAAAAGTTTTTTGTAACATATTAAATGCTCTGCCTGTTGCGATTCATGCAAAGGAAGTTGTCAGGTCCCAGTGTTGGTGTTTTTGTGTGCTAGACATAGCCAAAGTAGTGTTACAATTCAATAGAAAAAGCAAGTCTTAGCATATTCTCAAGGTAGGGTTTAAAGACCCATTTACAAGCTGTCTGCAGCTTTGAGAACTTCAGGATGTTGCCAAGTTTGTTCTAAAAGCGCCACTCGCTGACAGATGCTAAAACTGCAGCTATTCAAAATAATGGGCTGGATTTTATAAGATATTGAATTGAAATTAAATCATTCTCTGCATGGTTGAATATCATATTATAACTCATTGTACATCTCTAGGACCCGTCCTTCTGTTTGCTTGTGGCAAAATCACAAGTATTCACCTGATCTACTCAATAATCTGAACATGCGTAAAGTAAAATTTGCAGGTGTGAACATGCGTAAAGTAAAATTTGGAGGTGTGACAACTCAAGATGAAGTAGGATGTCAGCTGATCAGCTGCAAAGTTCTAATTTACCTGAACATAGGAGTCGGGAGCTTAATGACGGGTAGCCTCTATATAGCTGTCAGTACTCATATTAAAGTTGTTGTAGTGTTAACACTGTCCTGGTGCACTGTTTTGTCGAGAAGTTGGTTCCAATTGCTGGAACTGTTCTTACAAATTATCAAAAATACGGAATTCTTCACGAATTTGTGTGTTTGGGTGCAGAAGGTTGCATTTTCAGCCAGTATTCTGAGCCCTGCACGGTTGGATAAAGTCACTCACTGATATTCTCCACGTAAAGTGCTGAGTGCTGAGTAAACATATTTTTGTGCTAACTCTTCTTCTTACTACCAGTGTAACAATGGGCTTCAAGCACCTGGATATTTAACCGGCCTAGTCCAACAAGTCTGGACTTTTTGGCCTTACAGTTAGCATGTTGCATTGGTAAGCTAGCTGCCTGGGTTCAGAATGGGTTCGATTCCCGGGAGCCAGGGATGACTGTACTACTGGCCTCTTGTTTCACTAGTGTCAGGACCACACACCCAGCACTCGGATGTTACTCAATCACGCAGGCTGAGGAATTACATAATATTTTATGTGAGCTCCTGAAGTGGCCCCTCCCCTGAGTAAGCGGCGCCTGCGAACTCAGGGTAGCAGCATAAAACTCTGGGAGCAAACATAGCAGGCTAAGGAAGGAAGTACATATTTTATGTGCGCTCCTTAAGTGGCCCCTCCCTTGAGAAAGCGGCGCCTGCAAACTCAAGGTAGCAGCATGAAACTCTAGGAGCAAACACGATTGTCGTCCCTCAGCCATCACGATTGAGCACAACGTAATCCTCTAGGTGTTTTGCGTCCAGTTTAAGCAAGGAGGTTTACGTATTGTACAGTTCTTTGATACAGCGAAGTCTGTACAAATGTACAGTTCACCACCTGGCCAAATTGTGATCTAACTACCAGATGGGCATCTTGCCTCCAGTTTTGATAAAGTCTTGTACTAAAGTTGTTTGATACAGGTCAAGCCTTTACAAAAGTACATTTCACCACCTGATATGTGGTGGTCCTTTTGACCAGGTGTTCACTCTTAAAAAATGGAACCAGTTCAATCATGAAATCATTTTGGAATATTTCTATATGTCGGTTAGACAAAAGTGTTGAACTTCACACTGCTCTCTGCTGATCCGAATGGCATCCGCACTTTGAAGGTTCACGATATAACACAATGTCAAGTATTTATGGGCAAACCCTGTAGTCAGTTGTAGTTCGGCCACATAGTAATATACACATGTAAGTGTGTCACAGTACTTGAGAAAGCTAATTGAAAGAGATCAGGGCTCAAAATTCATTTTTGGGAATAGGTGCACTAGTGTTGAAGACATACGCGGGGAACACTTGTTTTCGGTGGTGGTTTTAGCTCCTGTTGCATGAGGGCCGATTTTTTCAACTCAGCTTTCCGCTAAGTGTAACTTGGGAAACCACACAGTAACCCACAATGTATCCGTTTTGCAGGAATGTATCCCTGTTCACACATTACAAATTTGAATCATGTTTTGCAAGTCTGTTCCACTGTACCTGACACCGTAGGCATTGGGCACACTGGGCAGCAAAGTTTTTATCTTGAACAAACTAAAAAGTTTGTTAAACTTCAGTTTGCAGCAAGGGAGGCATTGGGCATACTGGGCAGCAAAATTTCTATCTTGAACAAACTAAAAAGTTTGTTGAAACTTCAGTTTGCAGCAAGGGAGCACTTGTAGGTAAACTGTTGGTGGTGGTTTGAGTTTGCGGTAAGTCCAGGGAGTAAAGAACTGGCATGCAGTAGATCGAAAACATGTTGGGCAGCAAAGTTTCTATCTTGAACAAACTAATGTTTGTTGAAACTTCAAGGGAGGCACATGTAGGTAAACCATTGGTGGTGGTTTGAGTTTGTGGGGAATCCAGGGAGTATATAAAGAAATGGTGCGCAGTAAGTTGAAAACATGTTCACAGCCTTTTGGGTTTGCAGTTAAAGCAAGGAGGCGGTGTCGTGATTTCTAAAAACCATGTTGCCAGGTTGGTCGTACTGTAGTATACAAGTTTCCATCTTGCAGCCACTCGGCCCCTTGCCATCATGGTATATTGACTTCACATACCACATCATGTACCACTGTTCACACATTGTGTACCACAGTTTTGAAAGTCAGCACCACTGAAACCACATTGTAAAGTTGGACCACAATTTTGCAAGTCGATACCACTGTACCCACATGGTTTTAGTTCTATGAGATTGCACCATATGACCCCAGTCGATTTTATTTGTTTAAATCGGTTTATTAGATTGATTAATTCTTTTATTTGTTTAAATGGATTTATTAGATTGATTTGTTTAAATTGAACTTTGTTTGCGGGAACTTATTTTGCGTAACAGTTGGTTTGAGTTTGCAGCAAAGCCAGATGCAGGGAGTAAGTAAGGCACACAGAAGACTGAAAACATTTTCGCAGCCTTTCAGTCAGGTTTGCAGTTTATCAGCAAGGGGGCAGTCATGTTGGTTGTACTGTAATACTCTGGTTTTGTGAATCAAAGGAAACTCCAGGAGTATCCCATGTTGTTGTTGTTTCTTTCAAGAAAAACTCATCAGGTTTGTAGAATGTGATACGAAAACTCCAATGTGTAAACGAAAACTCCAATGTGTAAAAGCCAATAGCCAATGCTGTTGTTTGCAAGCACTGGGGGTTGTTTGGAATTTTGTTGCCGTTAGCTGCCGTTAGCCGCATGAAGCGTTACCGGGAGGCACCGCGTGGAGGTGGCAGACGGACTTTGCCTCCCTTCTTTTCTTTTTGGGTTTTATCAATTTTATAGTTTTTTTTTATTTTATGTTTTTTTATTTTTTTGGTGCGGGGAGGTTTTTAGGTTTTATTATACGTTTAGGGTGCAATCCCATTAGCCTGAGTGTCAGCCTTGTTAGCTTTCGTCCGCTACCCAAGGCGGGGAGCGGACCTTGGGTAGCGGACGAAAGCTAACAAGGCTGACACTCAGGCTACAATCCCATCCCCCCACCCCCCCCTCCATGTGGACAGTGGCACAACTGTTAAACGCAGACAGACAAAAAGTTTACACACCTTTTTCAGGTGGTTATCCCAGTGGCCTTTTCGCCCAGTGTAGGGTGCGGCTACCACTAAATGGTACGGCGGCGCTTCGGCTGGAAGCGGGGGTCATCAGCTGTGAGAGAAAAACACATGAAGGAGACGCATCAGTAAAATCTCATAAAACTGATGAAACACTCTGGCATCATACCCAAAACACACATCATACACCAAGCACTTACATGTATATACTATTAGGGAAATTTGGTTCTCAGACCAATAGCTGACTCGCTGCAGCTTAGAATGACCAGTATTACTTTGCCCAAGGAGGTTTAATTAAGTATTATAAAGGAGTGTTGTGTTATTAGTCATTTTCGATCGCAGAAAAACAAGTCCATAGGCGACAATTCTCCAAAGGTTAGGGCACCATATTGTAATGAATTGAACATGGGACGTTCCATTCTTAACACAATTGTTGTGCAGCTCAGCCCAAATTTTTTTAGAAGTATTTACGCCATGCACACAATCAGTGTCAGGTGTGATAAAAATCAGTACATTTGTAAATCAGCAACTTACCATAGCGCTGCGGGGGGCGCGACGTCCTGTTGCTCCTTCTCAGCTGAAACAATGAAAAGATGGATATTACTATAGATAAGTCACACACACGCACACACACCAATATATACATACACACATATACTGTACAGCACACACAAATACACACACACACACACACACATGAGCGCGCGCACACGCACACACACATTCATACACATACACACACACACACTAAGACACACACACATTCATACACATGCACACATCAATACACATACACATGCACAAACACACACACTCTCACACACACACACACTCACACACACACACA